GCGGTTCTTGGGAGTTTGCTTCTGGTTTTGGGGTTTAGGGTTTAGGGCGTTTGGGGTTTAGGGAGCGTGTTTTTGATTGTGGGCTCAGGGTTTACGGTTCAGGGAATTTGTTTAGTTTCTGGCGTTGGTGCGGCTTTAGGGCTCTAGGGGTTTGAGGCCTGAAGACCTGAACCCTACTGCAAAATCTAAAGCCGAAGCCCTACGACCTAAATCCTGAGCCCTGTATGTACAACAAAGATGTAAAGTATAATATGATATACGAGAGTTTCCGAAAATAGGGGACTTTAGTATAGTACCCTGAATAGTAGGATCCTTACTGTAAGGACCCCCAAACCAAGGCACCCCTAATTTTCTGAAACGCCCATACTCAAGCCTTAAACCTTAAACCCCAAACCTAAACGCCGATAAGCCTCAACACCTACAAGCATCAAACCACTGCGAGGTTCACGATCAGTGCCAATGGGGGACCTAAGTTCAACAATGTGGAGGCCAACAAGGCAGGACTGTCTGAAAGATGGCAGATTCTGTGTTGGGTGTAGCTCTCGAGGAGTTTTAGAAGTTCATCTTCTCAGTTATGATCGGCTGCATAGTGCTTTTACCGTTGGGGGGATGCACTTCTGCTAGCACGTCGCCCTCGCGATGGCAGGTCGGGAACTACAACGTGCTGCTGCAGGGATGCTCTTCTGCGCTCTACGACACAAGCTGCACTTGGGAAGAGTCGCATGAGACCTTCCACCACGCCTTCGCCGCCTTCCCCTGGGAGGTGGTTCTGTTGCAATGAATGCCGTTAGATTGTGGTTTCGGGCGGATGTTATACTGTAAATAGTATACAAGGGAAGTACCTGTTGAGACTCTTATGTTGCCATATTTGTTTTCATGACGACGATGATGATGGCGAGGAGGATGATGAGGGTGAGCGTGCCGGTGTTGACGAACACAGTGAACGGTGATTATGATCCTGATGACCATGGCATCGGAATGCTTGCGGCTCCTCGTTCTTGCTTTTGCCCGACAGGTTCTGGAGTGCTTCTCTCCGCCGCCCCGGGTATCCTTCTCCTGGCGGCACTGGGGCCATTTCACCGGGAGCTATGAAGGCCACCAGGGCTCCGGCGAGCTCGTGGAGATGTACGGCTTTGCAGTGGCAGAGGTGGACGATCAGCTTCGACTGGTGGACGTGGAGGTCTACTATAAGGCTCGGAGGCTTCCCGAAACGCTTGACCCAGAAGCCCTGTAACCTCTAAACCGGAAACCCGGAAACCCCTAAACTAACATGAACTAATGAATTCCTCAGCCTTCCACAAACCCAAAAGCCTCCAAGAACCTTGCCTTGAGCCACCACAACCCCCGTCGGAGCCCTGATCGTGACCCTTACGAAACCTCCAGTGCTACAAGGCCCTAGACCCTAAACCCGGGTGTCGCATTCGGAAAAGCTCTCACGGAAGCACCCGAAAAGGCCGACCCAAAGTCACCTGAACCCCTACAAGCCCCTTACAGAGCCCATATAAAACCCTTATAAACTCCGAAAAACCCTTGTTTCGCAAAGCCCGCTCAAAAGTCACGCCCTAAACATCCCCAAACCCATATAAACCCTTATGAACCTCCTTAAACCCGTATAAACCCTTATAAACCTCCTTAAACCCACATAAACCCGGATAAACCGCTTCTAAAAAGCCTTTTGAACCCTCTCAGGCCGACTCTTTCCTGGAGGTCATGAAGGGCCTGAAGCCGGCGAGGGAGCTGGCACAGGGGCAAGACTTGCTGGGCGCAGGTGGGCTCGGGTCGGCTGGGCTGGGGTGGGGTGGGGGTACTTGGAGGGTCGGGGGACTTAGTAGGGACTTACAAGTACCACAACCCCAATCAGGGTCCCCTTTAGGGTACTTATAAGTCTACTTATTACCTACTTACTAAGTCCCCCGACCCTCCAAGTATTCATGAGATCGCCGGGCGTGCTCTCATAAAGGAATTTGGGGTTTCAGGGTTTCGACAGATTTTTCCAGGTTTCCCCTAAGTTGCCGCGGGCTTGTTCGAGGAGTGGTCTAAGGTTCTAACTTGAAGGTTTTCTGTTCCCTGTGATCGTGCGGATAGTTGCCTTAGATGGAATTCCAAACCCCCCAAAGCCAGGATCCCCCTGGGTCTGTCAAATGGGAGTTTCCCAAACTAGGGGACCCTTATATAGTACTCCAAATCGTATGATCCTTATTATATGGACCCCAAAATAAGGTGCCCCTAATTTTCGGAAACCCCCAAATAGAGTTCGTGTTAGGATCCCTTCAGCAAGGAATGATGTAATGTTCGGAAGGTGCGAGGGATCCAGCACTGCCCACGCGAGGAAGAGATATAGAAAAGAGACCGCCCTGAATTAGTATGGGCCAAAGGATCCTAGTATTGAGGCCCTGCACAGACACGGTTGTATTCATCAGGAGTCGACATTACTGACAAGTGTCTTGAGGACCTATTGTCGTCATTCTTGTTATATAATTACGAGTAGGCGTTGCTAAACGTGATAGTTTTAACATGGGTCTAGGAATCTTATAGGTCATAGACAAGGGGAGCCCTACTATGGTCGTAGTGCCGAGGTGCAGCACAGGGCTGCCCGCACTTGCTTTCAATGAAGGTGCTTCTCCGAGAGACATTGAAGCTCGGGTTTAGGATGTAGGGGCTCCTTCGGTTTCGGGGCCGCTTCGGGTGTTTGATTTCAGTACTTGCGGTTTAGTATTTAGGCTTCTGGGGTTTGGGGTTGAGGATTTGGATTTTTTGGGCTTGGGGTATGGGTTTGGGTGGAGGTGTTCATCCGCGATGTCACTGTGGTACTTGCGGTGCTTTTTTGTCAGGTTCATGAAGTTCCTGGTTGCGTTCTTCCTCAACACCCGATCCCGGAGTTTGGTTTTGGTAAGCCTGTTTGTGAGAGATCTACAAGGAATTCTACTGCGTTTACAGGGCTGTGTATCGGCTTCACACTGGGAGTGGGTATGTAAGGAATGTGCCCAGTATTCCGTGACTTAGGGCTGCTTCACGCCAGTGTTTGTCGAGGGGTTCTTGAAGCTCCAAGCTCCTAGGTTGGCTAGCTTGCACCGCCAAAAACTCTATACTACCGCGGTTCACCTGCCCCTCCTCCAGGCAAAGGGTGCAGGCGGCACCTGCCCGCACCTGGAGGCGCTCAAGGGCCTCTGAGCAAAGCTGACAAGGGCTTTGCGAGGCTTCAGGTTTTAGAGTTTAGGCACAGAATTTTAGGCTTGGCCTAGGCCCAAGGGCCACCATTTTCCCCCCCACTTGCATGAGCACCCTGTCCCGTGACTCAGGCTTTTTCCAGAGCCTGGGTTCTGCACGGGTTGCGGTTTAATTTCGGCCGACATCTGCCAGTGCACAAGGCCCAGGCAGACAGAAATGGCCCAATTCTGGGGTATCTTTTAATCGGATTCCACAGAGTCGGCTCCTGAGCCAAGTCGCGGAATTTTATACCGCGGCTACATCCCGGCGCATGCTCGTCCAGCGCCCAGACTACATCCTGAGTGCCACAAGTGCTGGAAAAGAGAGCCATGCAGACCTCTGCACTTCAAGGGTCGCTATGACAATTGTCACATATCTAACATGTCGTAATGGATAGCATAAAAAGACTAGTATCATAACAACTACAAACTATATTGAAAACTAGAAGGAATATGAGCAAGACTTCTTTATCTCCTGATCAGATAATCCGAGATGGCTGAAGACCTGTCGATGCCGACTTGGCGTCGTGTAAAGATAGATTCAGGAAGTAGCCTAAGATTCCAGAGCAATACATGCGTAAGTTTTTGCGGTTAAGGGTTCAGGGTTTAGGGCTTAGGCTTCAGGGTTTGGGGTGTGAGCTTTGGGGTTGAAGGCTTGGGATGTTCTTGCCCTAAACCCTAAACCCTAAACCGTTCAGTGTTTGGAGGTGAAAGGCGGAAGCTTCCAGGCCCAAATTAGGTGCTGGGGGGTTCATGGGCAGTTATAAGTAGGGGTGTAAGTAGGGTAACTATACTTATGACCCATACTGTTGATGATATAAATCCTGCATTACCTTAAGGACCCTAAACTATGGGAATTATGGTATATTCCTTATTATGGGTCATGCAGGATTTATATCATCAACCGTATTAGGGGCTTTATGACCCCAATTATATCATGGGACTTAATAAGTACGGTTACAAGTACCCTGGCTGGGATTATAAGCACATATAAGTGTAGTTGCCTTAATTCTGACCCTAGTTACTAAGTCCCATGAACCTCTAAGTACACAAAGCAGAGTTCAGAAGGCGTCGAAGTAGGCCTAGATTTTGATGCGAGCCTTATCTTTGTAAGGCGCTGAACCCTAAACCCAGAAAGAAGCAGTGAGAGCAGTCTCGCCTTGCATAGATGTCGCGACGAACAAAAACAGTCGCAATGTACGTACACACAAAGATAGGACATCATGGACGTGGAAACCCTAAACCCAAAGTTCAAAACCCCAAACCCTAAACCCTAAACCTTAAACCCCAAAACAGCCTCAACCTTAAACCCAAAACCTAAAAGCTATCAAAGCGGTTTCAATGCCCAATTAAGAGGTCTCCTACACGAGTCTTATCAAGCCTCATGAGATTGATATGGGCGCCTGTAGAATTGTGGGAATATTGTTTCTATGACGGCTTCGTTAAAGGGTTTCTATAAGTTCTACAAGGGTTACTATATGAGTTTGCTATAGGAGCCTTACTAACTAACATAGGGTTTCGGAGCATACTTACTGACTAGAGAGGGGTTTCTGGGCAAAAAATGGAGCCCAAAAAGAATAACACAGCTACCCACTCTGGCCGCTAACTTAGTGTTTATGGTTTCATAGCTGCGGAGCCGTGAAAGCTATGGCAATGGAAGGGTTCCTTGCTAAGCAATCCACGGGATATGCGCATCCCTTGAACCCTAAATTCCTGAACACGAAGCCCTAAACCCCAAACACTACTACATCCCGGGCCCTAAACCCTAAACCCTAAACCTCCCGGGATTCTCAGGCAACTTCATGCACATCAAGCACATTCCTCGAGCCATTAAGCGCCGAGTTGTGCGAGAGGCGTTTCAACTCCGGGGTTCATGCCCTACTTGGAGGTTCATGGGTAGTTATAGGGGTTCCTTTAAGGGCCCCTTTAAAGGAATCTATAGGGATTCTATGAGGGTATAGGGTTTAGGGCCTACTTGGAGGTTCATGGGTAGAAGTGGGGTTATAAGTCCCCCAATGTGGGTTAGAAGGCATAGTTACCCTACTTATAACTACCCGTGAACCTCCAAGTACCCCTTCTTTAGGGTTCAGGGTTTGGGGTTTGCGGGCCTATATGGGGGTTCAGGGCTTAGGGATCAGGCTGTTAGGGTTTGCAGGGTTGCTCCATGTACCCTCAAAGTCGTAAGCCTCACACCTTCAGAGATATTTCGCTGAACCGCCCCACACCTTCAGACCGAAATCGTCAGACGCCCATGACGTTGGGCCCAAAACCAGCCCTTTCTGGAATTCAAGGGCCCCTAGCATTCCCCGAAAAAAGAAACCCTGTACCCTAAGCTGCCCTAAGCCCCAAACCCAAACTACGCCCTAAGCTGCCCAAAACCTTAAATCCTAAATCCTAGCTGAGCCCTCAGCCGCTCTCACCCCTAAGCCCTAAACCCCTAAACCCCCTAAACCCCTAAAGCCCTAAACCCTAAACCCTAAACTCCTAAACCCCTAAACCCCTAAACCCCCTAAACCCCTAAAGCCTTAAACCCTAAACCCTAAACCCCTAAACCCCTAAACCCCTAAACCCCTAAACCCCCTAAACCCCTAAAACCCTAAACCCTATACCCCTAAACCCCTAAACCCCAAACCCTGAACCGAAGCCTTGGACTGCCAAGCCGAAGCTCTGCCATTTCTGAGCCACGGCACGACATCCATTCAGCCCAAGATGCATAACACGATGCGACGGTTCAGGGTTCAGGGTAGGAAAGCTCTGAATAAGTAGGAAGATTACTTTTGGGTCTTCCTTCGCAGAAGTCTATTCTATAAAAACCCTATGCAACCCTAAGCCGAAGAGTTCAAAGGTACTGGGAGACCCTAAGTCAGAAAGGGAAGGGATCTGGGTTGTGGGGATGGACTTCCCCTGCCCCAGTTTCAGCACTCCCGCGTCGGAATTTCCCGCAGCCTGAAGACCCGGATATGAAGCGCCGAACACTGGATCGAGCATTGGATGCGAAACCGCACTGCTACTGCGAAGCTTTGGGGTTTTGAAACTCTGCATGTGAGCTCAGGGTGTTTGAATTCCGGGGCGCAGGGGGTTTCGGCAGTGTCCAAGGCCCAAGGTTTGAGGCTCGAACTTGAAGCCATCAGCCGCCACCACTGGTTACATCGTAGGCCCTAAGTCTCTAAGCACTGAGCCCGGCTTTTTAGTATCTCAGGGTTTAGGGTGTAGGTCATGGGAGGCCAAAAGGGGTTTTAGCCTATGGGGGTTTAGTAGGGATTAGGGTTCCCATAACAGGGTTCATATTCAGGAATACCTGCCCCAAGAATCTTAAACCCCCTGTTGGCCTCACACCAGTAGGATCTGTGCTCTGCAGATGTATGACGATCACCCCGAGTACTTGGGACAGACAGCCAAGAAGTCCAAGAAGGCCGCGTTAAGCTTGAGACAAATGGGAGGGAGTTTCCGAGAATTAGGGGTACCTTAGGATACCTTTAAAGGGATCTAGAAGGGTTCCTTAAAGGGATCTAAGTATATAGGCTATTATAGGGATTCTATAAGGGGTTTAGGGTTTAGGGTTTCGGGGCACCTCATGTTGGGGTCCTTACAATAAGGATCCCTTGGTATTGTGTTAGGGTCCCCTATTTCCGGGAACTCCCAAATGTTCATGGGATGAAGAGGTTTTAGAGTTTAGAGTTCCGCGTTTGGGGAATGGGCTACAGGGGTCTGCTAAAGGGGCCCTTGAGGGACCATCATGGGCATCCAGTCCCTTATTCCCTACTAAGAACCAGGGAGTCATTGTGAAGTCTTCTGCCATGTTGAGCCCTCTGAACCGTTTGAGGTCAAGGTTGGTTTCCCTTGAAGCCCATTTCCCTGACCCGAAGCCATAGATCTTTTCTCCGGTTCAGGGGCTCCCTTTTCAAAGGCTTAAAGTCTTGGGTCTGCAGGCTTCCTCTGACTTTTTTAAATAGCATCCAGGCATGCTGCTGGTGTAATGTACCGGGCTCTCTTTGTTGCTGGACCTTGTGGCTAGGGCTCGCACCATACAGCTTTGTTTGTCCGTCATAATTCTGAGGATCCCTTGATTTTCGACAGCCTGCCTGGAGACCTCGCGAAGAAATACAGTACAATGTGCTACACGCAAGTGCCTTCGAACCTGCGATGCCCTTCACCCCAAGACCGACTGCTTGTACTTCTACATCTTCAAGGACCCCAGCAGTAGGATCCCCCTTGGAATCTTTTGCAAAGGATTGGGTTCACTAGCCAGCCCATGGAGAGGACAAGGAGAAGGACCGTGACCGCGACCGCGATCGCCGAAGCCGCTCCAGGACTACTCCGAGTGCCAAATGTGAGTTTGCAAACTTTTGGAGTCGAGGGCTCAGGGGTTCAGGGGTTCAGGGTTCATGGGTAGTTTTAAGTGGGGTTATAAGTCCCCCAAATATGGGTTATAAGTACAGTTACCCTACTTATGACCCTACTTATAACTAGCCATGAACCTCCAAGCACCTGGAGTAACCACTGTACCTTCTTCAAAAGGGTGTACAAATTCCGCGGTTTTTGGACGTACCTTGCTTACTCTAGGTAGGGTCTAGGGCTACCTTAACCCCCAAGCCCTAGATACGGATTCCGGACTACAGTACGCTGCAAGATGGAAAAAGGCGTTCAATAGAAACCCTACTTCGAGGGTCGGGGGACTTAGTAAGTAGGTAGTAAGTAGACTTATAAGTACCCTCTAAAAGGAACCCTAATTGGGGTCATGGTACTCAAAGTCCCTAAAATACCCAGTTACTAAGTCCCCCGACCCTCCAAGTTGAGTGTTTTGGGGTTTCTGGCAGCGAGACAGTTGGCGGCTCGGAGTAAGGGTTCTTAGGCATGCGCAATACGTTGATGATATAAATCCTGCATTACCTTAAGGACCCTAGAATATGGGAATTATGGTCTATTCCTTATTGTGGGTAAAGCAGGATTTATATCAGCCGGCGATTGAATCCCACGAGCTCCAAAGGTTAAGCGAAGGAGGTTTATTCATATGGGTGGTTGTCAAAATCATGGTCCCCTTTTGGGTCCTTATTATAGTACGGCACCTTGTAGTTAGGGTACCCAAAAAGGGGCCATAATTTTGACAACCACCCATATGGGTCTACATCAACGGTTAGGAGGGGAATGGGTGTTTGGCCATTAGAACCTACGACATGAACTTTCAGGTTCAGCGTCAACCGGTCCCTTGACATCCTGCAGAAGCCTGCGGTATGGGGGTGTTTTGCCGATTTATGGGGTTTAGGCTTAGATAGTGAGCGGGGGAGCTTTAAACTTTTTGGCCCTATATATTAGCTCTGTCTTAGAAAGTTTGAACTTTCTGGGGCCCGGTTGTTGAAGAAGAGAGTAGGGTTTCGGGGTTCGGGGTTTGGGCTTCACGGTCGCCCCTCTGCGCTTCCTTTTGGCAGGAGGCGCGAGAAGGAGAAGAAGGAGAAGGACAAGGGCGATAAGGCCGGTGGAAGCCGCGCGCAGCATAGCCCTCGAAGGGCCCATGAAGAGCACAATAGTAGAAGTATGAACCGCAGACCCTTTATACTCGCGACCCCAAACCCCAACCCCTAAACCCTAAACCCTAAGTCACCTAATTCCCACAACGCCCCAGAAACCCTAAACCCTAAACCCTAAGTCACCTAATTCCCACAGCCGACGCTCCCCAAGAATCTTAAGCCACCCTTTTGACCTCCCATCACTCAAGCCTGGAAGGGCGGCGGTGGCCCTCCTGCACGTCAGACTTCTGAGGAACGCCAGGAGCTTACTACAGCGCTCAGGGTTTAGGGGCTGAGGGCTTTGGGCTTAGGGGTTAGGGTCGTGGGTTTAGGGCTTTGGGTTTAGGGTTTAGGGCATATTCTTCTGCAGGGTTCCCGATTTTTATAACTGGGGGGGTCCTAAGAAGGGTCTTTCAAAGGCATCTTCAGGGGCTGAAGCCTTAGGCACTAAACCCTAAACCCCCTGAGCCCTAAACCCTAAACACTAAAACCCAAACACCTAAAGCCCTAAACCCTCAAGCCCGAATCCTTGAACCCCAAAGCCTTAAACCCCTAAACCCCATGCGCCAAGTCTCAACCCCAAAAGTCCCTATCCCCGGAAGACCTTTGGGCTTAAAGCCTACTTAGTAACTGGTTATTTTAGGGACTTATAAGTACCGTAACCCCAACTAGGGTCCCTTGTAGGGTACTTATAAGTCCTTACTACCTACTTACTAACTCCTTGAACCCTAAACCCTAAACCCTATAGTACCCCTATAGAGCCCTTTAAAGGAACCCTTAGAATCCCCTTTAAGGGAGCCCCATACTAAGTCCCCCGCCCGACCCTCCAAGTAAGGCCAAAAGAGCCCCAGACCAGGGCAGGGTCAGGGTGCTAATGCTATAGGGGCCTTACCTTAAGCCGGAAAAACCTACCTTTTTAGGGTTCCTTACTATGATTTCCTTATGTAAGTCCTCAAAAAGGTAGGTTATTCCGGCTTAAGGTAACAATTAGAATAGGGTTTGGGGGCACTTTAAGGGTTCCAGAAAAAGGGGTCTATAAGGGCGACTATAAGGGCTATTATGAGGATTTAGCACAGGTCTTCGTTCGCTTCTCGGTCCCGAGGTCGTGCTATGATCGCCTCCTGGAATGCGGAGAAGGACAGCCGCAGACCACCACCGAAGTAGACCGATTTGGCGAGCTTCGGGTTGAGGGTTTGGGGTCTTAGGAGTTAGAGTTTAGGGTAGATACATCTGAATCCTAGGGACAGAGGAAGGGTTTAGGATCTAGGGTGTGAGTCCTACATTCTAAATCCTAAACCCTCACGGCCCTGCATTAGAGACTGTGGGATGCCCTAAGAATTCCAGAGACTCCAACCGTCCCGGAAGTGGGGCTCTCGGATCGGACCCTTCTTGGTTATAGGGCTGCTATTCAGGGTTTTACAAGTCTTCGATAGAATTCCAAAAATAAGCGTTCTAGGAGCGCTCCAGAGGGGCTCTAGAAGGGTTCTAGAAGGGTTCTACTGTTGATGATATAAATCCTGCATTACCTTAAGGACCCTAAACTATGGGAATTCTGGTATATTCCTTATTATGGGTCATGCAGGATATCATCAACCGTAGAAGGGTTCTATGAGGGTTCTAGAGGGTTCTGAGCGATCTGCGGGACATCGCTTCTGACCGAAGCCAGAACTGTGGTTCCGGGAAACACACCATCATCCGGCTGCGATTTAAACAGTACCCTGGACTCTGAATCCGCTGGCCATGTCAGCGACAGTCGGGTAACAAGAAAGGAGTTGGGAACGTTTGCAGAGTGAGGGTGCATGGGATGAGGGTTTTGGGTGTTAGGGCGCATTGGTTGCTTCTTTGTCCTGTATGGGATCGGTGAACTACTCAGGTTTTGAGGGCCCCGGGCGCACATAATTTTTTAACGCTTCAGGGTTCTAGCTTAAGCTTAGTGCCAGGTGCATAGATGATCGCCAAAGCTCTGGGCTTTGGAGTCTTTGGGAACTGGGGCTGGGTCATCATAAGGAAGCTAAACACCCCAAAACCCTCCAGAGGGTTTGTCGAGGCTTTAGTGCGGGTTTATGGGGTTGTATGTTGGGCGCGTTCAATATGGGGGTTTCCGAAAATGAGGGACCCTAATATAGCTCCCTAAATAGTAGGATCCTTATTATAAGGACCCCTAAATAAGGTACCCCTAGTTTTCGGAAACTCCCATATACGTAATTGAATCAAAACTGTTGAAACCCCCAAGCTTCTTTTTGATGGTTTTTCCATCCTATAGGTATCATGCAGCTGAAGCCCTAACCCTAAACCGCTAAAGCCGAAACCCTAAGCCCTAAAACGTGTGTACAAGCTGCCTCTTGCTCTCGAGGAGAGCGGTGTGGTGGCCTAGAGGACCACAAGGCCGTCTCAAGGAACCGTTATAGTAGGGTTTAGGGTTTCGGACCTTTAGGGTTTAAGGCCTATTAGGGTTTAGGGTTTAGGGGACCTTAAAAGAATCCTGATAGTAGCCTTATACGGATACAGGGACCTACGATAGCGATGCCACGTGTCAGCGGTTTGTTAAACTTCGGAGGAAGTCTCAAGAAGCCGTTGAATTATATTGGTAGTTTACATATACAAGGCTTTTAAATAGTACCTTATTACTACCTGTTTAAGCTAACTTGCTATACACTGTTACTGGATGGTGGGCAGTGCCCAATCTCTGAGAGCAATCGTGTCAGGGGTTTGTTAAACTTCGGGCGCTAGAGGCCACACCCTGGAGCTTGACCAGGGTTTAGGGTTTAAGGCCTACCTGGACCCTAGAGAACCTACCTTTTTTGGGCCCCGTATTATGATTTCCTTATATAAGTCCTTAAAAAGGGTAGGTCATTCAGGGTCCAGGTAGGTGATGTTCGCAAAAGGCTTCCAGCGGCATCCGAATTTTCAACTCAAGGTCTCAGAACGTCCCTTTTTTGTAGGCGCTTCACAGGGCTTAGGGTTTAAGGCTCAGGTTACTTGGAGGTTCATGGGTAGTAAAAAAGTAAGGTCATAAGTAGGGTAACTATACTTATATAACCCATTTTAGGGGACTTATAACACGACTTATACCTGCCCCCATGAACCTCCAAGTAGTCCAGGCTTTGAGTTGAGGTTTCAGATTGGGAGTTTACGATGTTTCAGATTGAGGGCCCAAACCCTCAACCCTAAACCCCGTAGAGCCTAGGGTTTTCAGAATTTTGGGTTGTGGGATTTCAGGCTTAGGGTCTAGGGATTTTACAGATTCAGGGTCTACGGATTTAAGATTTAGGGTCTAAGGGTTTATTGGTAAGGTTGGGGTTCTTGAATGTCCTAAGCCCTAAACCCTGTCTAAGCTTTAGGATTATGCTTTGGGTTTTGTGTCTAAGCACCGCATTCGAAGGCATCCCCAAGCCCTCGTGCCTGAATCCCAAAGACTTACAGTAGAAGCCAGAAAGTTGGAATATGATGATCCTAACCCTTCTATGGTAAGTTATAGGGTATCCTACCATGAAACCATATTCCAACTTTCTGGAGTTCCCAATAGCCCCAAACCTTTTTTTCATAGGGACCCTTGGGGGGTAGGGGGAGGGGGGTGGGGGACTCTACTTCCTTAAACAGGCCTTATTCTGTCCTTATTACAGGTATGAAGGCCCGCTGCCCCCCCCCCCCCCCCCCCCCTAAGGGTCCCTATGATTATTCTTAACCATGAACCCCCTGCAGTTTGAATCCCCAAACCCCAAAACCTGAAGTCTCTAACGCCCGAAAGCCTTGTGGCTAAAAGCAACCAGGATCCCAAACCTTCATCCTGACCCCCAAAGCACGCAGCACTCCCCTAAACCCTAAACCCTAAACCCCAAACCCTAAACCCCTAGATCTTAAGCTTGAAAACCCACCGTAAGCCCAATACCCGACATCGTGAGCCCAAGACAGCCCCGACACCCGAGATGGGGTCCCCAGGTCCCACTTGGAGGGTCGGGGGACTTAGTAACTATAAGGGGTTCCTTTAGGGTTCCTTTAAAGGGATCTATAGGGATTCTGTAAGGGTTTAGGGTTTAGGGTTTAGGGGGCTTAGTAACTGGTTATTTCAGGGACTTATAAGTACCATAACCACAATTAGGGTCCCTTTTAGGGTACTTATAAGTCTACTTACTACCTACTTACTAAGTCCCCCGACCCTCCGAGTAAACCCTAAACCCGAACCCCTTAACTCCCAAAACCTTAAACCCCAAACCCAAGAAGCCCCAAACCCTACACCCTTCACCCGAAACCCAAGCAGCCCCAAACCCTAAAACCCTAAACCCTAAACCCAAGCAGCCCCAAACCCCAAACCCTAAACCCCAAACCCCAAAAGCTCCGCACCCTACGCCTTAAGCCCTCGCCAGGGAAGCTGAGAAGCTGAGCGCTCCGGTGAAGTGGTCTGGAAGCCGAGCCTGGCCGGCTCCAAACAGGGTTTGGGGCCTACGGCTTAGATTCTAGGGTTTAGGGTTTAGGGCTTAGGGTTTAGGGTTTAGGGCTTAGGGTTTAGGGCTTAGGGTTTAGGGTTTAGGGCTTAGGGTTTAGGGTTTAGGGTTTAGGGTTTAGGGTTTAGGGCTTAGGGTTTAGGGTTTAGGGTTTAGGGTTTAGGGTTTAGGGCTTAGGTTTAGGGTTTAGGGCTTAGGTTTAGGGCCTTAGGGACTTGGCTGGCCCCAAACAGGGTAGGTGCGGGCCTTAAGGGCTTCTAATAGCACCCAGGATTTAGGGTTTAGAGCTTGTGTTATAATGACATCTTGTAGTGCCCAAAATACTAGGTACCGATTTGAGATGTTTTTTTCTTTCATATCCTTAGTTGTGTAGTATAAAGCAACAATCCTAAACAATTTTGGGGACGTTTGAAATCGACAGCTAGAACACCGTTCAGGGTTTAGGGCTTAGGGTTTAGGGTTTAGGAGCCTAGAAGCCGTACTGCAACCTTGCGAGTTGGGGGAGCTTTTGTCTCTGTAAGATGACCTGCATATACTTCTCTAAATAAATTAAAACAAACATTACTAAGCTAAAAGTTGTAAATTATTTTGGTTTTAGAATGACAAAGCCACAAAAACCAACGTTTTCGTTCATAATAAAGAGCCCTAGAAAGGTAGGTTTAAGAGAGTTTCGGTATGGCCTCCAAGACGTCCCTTCCACGAGACACGCGGAGCCGGTTCGGTGACTTCCAGCCATTCTTGCCATGCCAATGTGCGACTCCCGAGCAACTTTATGAGGAAACCCTAAAGGCCCTAAATCCCTAAACCCTTCTAGAAACTTCATGGAAGCCGTAAAGGAGCCGAAACCCTAAACCCTTACAGATCTCTTTGTAGATCCCTGCAAGGAACCCCAAGAGCCTAGAAACTAAACCCTTGCAGACCCGTTATGCATCCCTTGAAGGAGCCCAAAACCCCCTGGGAGCCGCTGTTTTGTGCACGTCCCCCGGTTGGCGCCGTTGGATTAGTTAGACTCCCCCGGCCGGCGTCGAAAGTGAGAAGTTTAGGGTGTAAGTTTAGGGTTTCGGTGTTGGGGTTTAGGGTTTAGGGTGATGTGGGGTTTCTGGTTTAAGCTTCAGGGGGTGTATGTAGGACTTGCTTCACCGGTAAGCAATCCTAAAGGCTGCGCCAAGGTTGCGAGAGTGTCAGTTGTAGTTGGTATTGTGAAACCCTGCAGCTCTCCATGGTACCTGGGTTTGGAGTACCATACTTGAATACTTTCTTTGGTACCTGTTCCTTAAAGGAACCCTTGTAAAATGAAAGCCTATACTTCTTTCTCCTTGGTTACTTCAAAGTCCAGGGTAGTACTGCCCATGATGCTTCAACCAGCTTAGCGTTTCAGGAAGACTTTCCGGCGGGTTTCGCGCTCGCTTCTGGTTTGAGGGCTCAGAGCGATGGGTCGATTGGGTTTCAGTTTTTCTGCAGAGGGCACATAGAGAATCTATAAGGTTTTCATAAGGAACCTATAAGGGTTTCTACAAGGGCTCCATATGAGGGATATATACCGGGGTCGCGGCGTCGTGAATGGCGGTAATTAATCAGAGGGTAGCCCTGCTTTTCGGGTTTCAGGTGTACCAGAATCACGTCGCTAGAAGTTTGGCTTTGATGGGGAGGCCAAAATCCTTAAGCCCACCCATGCCCGTCAAACCCCAAACCAAAAACCCTACACTGAAATTCCTCTTAACTCTAAACCCTCAACAACTCAAGACTCGAAGCCCTTAACCCAAATTCATCAAGCCTGCCGGCATGGGGTCGCTTGCCTGTGGACGCTCTGCAACCGGGACTGCGGGCCTCAGAGATCAATACGGGAGCCTCGACCGTTCGCAATATTCGTTTTTGTAGAAAAAGTCTATCTATCCATCCATCTCTCTTTGTTTATCCGTATGTATGTATCTATCTGTCTATCTGTCTGTCTGCATATCTATCTATCCGTCTGTCTATCTATCTATCTATCTATCTAGCCATCTATCTACATAAGTACATGAGCATGAGACTGTCGGTACGTGTTATGCATATGTGCATGTATGCATATGTCTGCGTACATGCTTGCACATATTGGTAAGCTTACGTATGTACATATACATGTATATATATATATATACATACACACATATTCAGCCTGGAGCTTGATGGCGTACTTGCTGCACTAATCCTCTTCTTCATGCTAAACCCTAAACCACTGAAATCTTTGTGCCTTTCTTGAAGTCCAAATCGGCTCCGTCCCTCCCCAGAGGACGAGGTTCCGGAACACCGTAGCCAGGAGCTCCAGAGACGTCTCGAGCAATGCGCGCAACTAGCCACAAAAGCTGCTCGTTCGCGTCCGAAAGGGTTTTGGGTGTAGGGGTTTGGGGGTCTATGGCGTCTAAAAACTCGAAAGATAGGTGTTTGGGGTTCTGCGGCCTTTAAAACTCGAAAGAACCTTTAACTCCGACACCTAAGAGCCCGGAGGACGGAGCTCCCCCTACGCTTGGGGGACTCGGTGCTTGGGTTCAGGCGGTTTAGGGTTTAGGGTTTAGGGTTTAGGGTTTAGGGTTTAGGGTTTAGGGTTTAGGGTTTAGGGTTTAGGGTGCGGCCATGGAATCAACTACAAGCGCCTTAATAGTTAGAATAGGGTTTAGGGGCCCAGCATACTATATTTATAATAAGGAGCCCCCAAAGGGTATAGGTAACTATCAGTTAAGGCCGCTATATTATGTGAGTCAGGGCTTTGAGCATGGCTGCGATCACAGAGTAGCTACCCGAAACCCTCAGATGAAGGGGTGATTTGACTGTTTTAAGACGCTGGGTGAAACCCCAGCTGCATCCATCCGAAACCTTCTGAATATCCGCCAACCTTAAGACCCGTGAACTGAACCCTAGGCCCTCAACCTTAAACCCTCACCCGAAGCCTTAAACC